TAAAAATATTCATTTTCAAAATGGGGTGTACTCAATTATGCTGAGCACTGTATTTATATTGTGTGTGTGTGTGTGTGTGTGTGTAAATAAAATTTAAAAAAATGTATAGTCTTATCCAATATACATTTTAATTTAAAAATATGCAATTTTGTTTCAATATGTTCAAATAATACAAATAGATTTAATCACCTAAATAACAACTATATAAGTAAATCCAACTTTAACAACTAAAATCCAAAATTAAAAAAAAATGATTATGCAGACACAAGGTATTACAATTTGAACATTTGCAAAAATAAAGATGCATAAATTAAAATTGTAATATTGAGCAAACGTTATTAGACGCAACAAAAAATATATAAAAATTAATAAATGAAAATAGCAAAAAAATAATAAAATTGTGATGTAGACTAAGCACAAAAATATTGAACATTACCAAAACATTACAATTAGTAAATATGAATAAAAATATATTGATTAAAAGTAACAATAGAGTAAAATTATATATATATATATATATATATATATATATATATATATATATATATATATATATATATATATATATATATATAATTTATAGTATATTATAAAATATTTATAGTATATTATACTAACATTCTATTAATGATTAATTAATGTTTTCCACACATATGGATACATACAGAATTGGAATGCTCAAAATAGGATTTTTTTTTTTTTTTTTACTGTCAGTTTTGATTAATTTGAATCCCTGCTACATTAAAAAACTTTTTTTTTTTTTTTTACTTTTATTTGAATCAATTATTTAATTATTAAGCTTAAAAGAAATAAAAATCTACATCAAAACACTTCAACTACTGGCATTATTATTAAACATTTGCTTATAATACATCAATCAATGTTCATTTACATGACTTGAAAAGCTACAAATGCTGTAAAAGCCTTGCTCATTATGATTATTCAATTATTGTAACCCCAAATCTGCTGTACAAGTCGCAAACAAATGAAAAACCACTAAGCGTTTGCAGAGCAGCCATCTGAATTCAACTCTCACAGGCTGTTGTGCTGATTAAAAATGACTGGAGTACGAGCATCTCTCCTTCAGTGAAGCAGCAACGGGCAACAACGATCCCATTTCACATGGCAGTGATTTTCATTTCCGAGAGAGCGAGAGAAAGAGGATCCCTGAGGAATAACAGCGCTCTCCTGCCAGTGACAAGTTTGACAGCTTCAGCCACAGAGACAAAAGACGAGACCGAGTGAATAATGAGTGGCTCCTGTCGGGGGATTCCTGCGGCAGGTTCTCCTCCAGCATCTGATGCTGCCAGCTGATTTCTGCACCAACATGTCCTCACATGCCATTATAACACACTCTGCAGACACGCACTCAAGCTGATCCTGACAAAAACACTAAAAAACTGACAATTCAACACATGCACTTGAAAACACAAACATACAGGGGGTGTGATTTGCGGCCTGAAATGAAGATGTTTTTTGTTTATCAAGCTGTATATATTCAGGCTCTGTTCACATGATCATGGGTATTTTTAAAACTGCATGTTTTACTAAGCAGTTTTGCTGTTTGTCCACATGAAAACACAGTGAAACTGAAAACAAAACTTTCTGAAATCTCCGGTGAGGGTAAAGATTTTTCGATATTCTGGGTACAGTCAAAGTCCCTTTAAGCCAAGTCATTTCACTTGGCAGCCATCTTTTGAAATACCTCTCAGGCAGTATGCTTGGACATTTTGCTTAAATGAGGAACATCAAATTCTCCAAAATTGCTTGCCAAGCTTAGGATTGGAATTGGTAATAATATTAAACAACAATTGTCTCTTTAGTTTAATTTCTAAACTGTTGAACCACACAAAATCTGAAAAAAACTCAGATCTGGTCCGAGCCCTTACCTCAGAGAATCAGTCTACAGTGATTGATGATTGGCTCCTGTAATATAAGACGGGGCTTCTTTTATCATATTGACGTTACACATTTCTAAACTAGATCAAATGACCTCCACAATCACCAGAACTCAATCCAAAAGAGCACCTTAGAGATGTGGTGAAATGGGAGATTCACATCATTGATGTGCAGCCAACAAATCGGCAGCAACTGAGTGATGCTATAATGTCAATACGGAGCAAAATCTCTGAGAAATATTTCTAGTAGCTTGTTGAATCTATGCCACGCAGGATTAAGACAGTTCTGAAGGCAAGAGAGTTTCCAACCACCCATTAGTAAGCTGTACCTAATAAAGTGGCCAGTTAGTGTTCATCAAAAGCTTTTAATTATTTATATTATTATTAATAGTTTGCTCACAATACCTCAATTAATGTTCATTTACATTATACACATTATACAAAATTATACGTGTGACATTTCTTGTGTTTTCTACAGTCTTTGGTACAGTCTCAGTGCCAACCCAAGCGCATTCTGAAAAAGTACCTCTTTATTGAATTCTGGACAGTGCCAAATACGTCCCAAGAGCTACGTTTTTGTTTTGTTTTTTTGCAGTTTTTTTTTTGCAGTTTTTATGAATCCACCAGATGTCACTATGTACGCTTTTTTAGATATCAAATTTGTCTCATGAGTGCCATTTACATCTGCTGTTCTCACGTAAACCCACCAGAGGCCGCTGTCAACTCCTTAAACCCAACCAATTGTATTGATCAACCCGCCCACCCACTTCCCTTAACCCAACCAACAACTTTCTAAATCAATCAAAAAAAATAAAAGCCCTCATCTGTTTTTTTACTCCATTTTTAGATTTTACCACATTCTCACCCTGTTATTTAATTTATTTACTTTCTGGCTTGTTGTTTTTGTCTTACCTGCTTTCTGGAACGGTTCTTTCCCGAACTTGAAACCAGTCATCGTGGTCAACTCCTCTCTCAAATCAGACAACGTACATTGCGAGCTAACGTGACAAACTGGTAACAGCTGGAAATCTGTTTATACAGAGGTAAGCGGTCAACTCGAAAAGCAAACATCATACCGCCCTGTGGCGTTCATTTTAAAACGGAAATGCAGCCATACATACTTCTGGCAACATAATTCACAATCTCCAGAAACAGATTTAGGGCTACGTTTTCAGTATGAGCCTATGTTGGTCATTACAGGTCATATTACGTGTTGTTCGCCCCCGGGACAGTGATCCGCCTCTGTACTCTCGTTTGCATCGATTTGTATGCAATTTACTCTTGCAAATTCACCATTTGATGTGAACCCAGTATGAAAGTGTCACTATTGCCACCTGTTGGTTTGGCGCACTCTTCACACGAATCACATTGTGATTTTGCATTTTCACCATAGACTGTAAAATATATGGACGTAGTATCCGTGACGTCACCCATAGGTTTCTGAACACTGCAAAAGAAGCGACAAGTAGACGCGGACAACCATCGCCATTTTGTTAGTGCGTATCGCACCCACGGCAGGCAACCAAACAAGGGCAAAGAGGCGGGGAGTGAGCAGAGCATACATTTTGCTTGGACCTGGCTTAGACAGACTTTACTTTGGGAGAACGCTGAATACTTTATTATCTGTGACTCGTTTGTATTCTGACCACATGTGCTTGGCTGTACACTATATCAATAAAGTGTTTAGACTTTTAAAAACACTGTTGTACTACATTGAGCCACTAAACATTGCTCTTATAACATTTTTCAACATGAGGAAACGCAAATTACTTCCAAACACTTCAGATGTGGTCTGTGTTAGTAAATGCAAGACTATTGATGAAATCCAGGCATAACACTGTATGACAACGCTACAGATGACTGATCTAGAGCCTACAGCAAATCAATCTGTCAGATTCTGGAATGCATTACAACTCTAAAGAACATTATAAATGATTAATGATCTTAAATAAAACAAATACGTTTTTAGAGATGGTATACAAGTAAATAACTACTCACCTGGGAAACAGAAACCACGTGAATGGTTTGTGAGAACAATTAAGTGCACACAGCATGCCATATCATGTGATAATCGTAAGAAATAAGCCCAAAACGCAACTGACTGTGTAAAACCACATAAAACAACACAAAAATAGGATGAATATGCCGATATTAGCGGCTAATCTCCCGGAGTCAGCTGAGGTGAAGTGACTGCAACCAGCGAGACCAAGCTGTCACTCAAGTGGCCACGCCCTTAGTTATGCAAACTTAATATAAACCATTATAAAGGAAACGCATGAGTTATAAAAAAAAAAAAAAAAAAAAAAATTCACCCCCTCACAGTTGTCATGAAGGGTAATATTAGCTATATGCACCAAAATAGTTCTTTGTACCAGGCTGTAAACACCTTTTTTGCTGCTGTAAAGCTGCCCATTCTAACAGTGGGCTCAATCCGTTTGTTAATTGGTGACGTGTTTGTGATGTATGTAATACTGTTTCCGGGTCCAAGCCGCTCTTTGAGTGGAGAAATCATTCGTTTATGATCACTTTTTATTCCTATCACACATTAAAGTTATTTTGTATAAAAGCATAGTGTACACAACAATCTCTGGGCTTGCTGCATAACAAATACCAAAATTAACAATTTATTTAAAAAAAAAATCACTTTCTGGCCATCAGATATTAGGCATGGACATATATACTGCGATCATGATTTTCGAAAGCCTCAAATCGCTTTGTAAACGTTTATTATTACCATTTCATGAGTCTCCCCATTCAGTTGAATAGAGCGGTTGGACCCGGAAGCCGCTTCGTGTGACGTCATACTTAACAAGCGGATTGAAATTTGCTCTGTTATGGAGCCAGGACAAGCAGAATATCGATGAATTGCAGTTTTCAGTTACTTGCGTATTGGCTTCCCGAGGGAGAGCGGTAGGTTGCCGCTTGGTTTTCATATGGACGGAGATTTTTTTTTTTTATTATGAAAGCAGGGAAATGTCCATTTAAAAAGTACAGTGGACATGGGCTGAAATTGAAAGATTCTGAAAACTTTGGCCACGGTGAAGATTTTCCAAAACTCAAAATACTGTGTCGTTACAGGTCATATTTTGTGTTGTTCTCCCACGGAACAGTGATCCACCTCTGTTCTCACACTTTCATTGATTTGCTTGAAATTTACTCGTGCAAATACTTCATTCCCCATTTGATGTGAACCCAGCATGAAAGTGTCATTATCGCTACCTGTTGTTTCGACATGCTCTTCACACGCATTATATTGTGGTTTTGCGTTGTTTTTTTGTTTTGTTTTGTTTTTTTTGTTTTGTTTTTTTTGTTTTTTAACAAAAGCAGGACAAAAATAATAGTGTACATGTAGACATGGGCTGAAATAAAACTTTTTAAAACTCAGGGGCCAGGGGTGAAGACTTTCTGAAACTCCGGGTACCATGTGGTCATGTGGACACTACAAGTGGAGATTTCACCTTTCACCGTCGTTTTCTCCTTTCTGATTGGCCAACACTACTGGGTTGCAAACCAACAGCTTTGCTGTACCGGCCCTTACAGAGTGGCGGGAAAATGCAACAAACATTGTGGATCATGGAACACATAACGTTGCAACCCTTCATGAACAGCTAAATACTGTTTGCCGTACACTGACATGGTCTCACCCTGTCTTTGGGTCTCACAGCTTGGCAGGTCTGCTTTGCCTTTGGAAAGCATGCACTCTCATGAATAGTTAAGAATCAGGGTCTTCTCATAGGATAAGAAAACTCAGCTATGAATGATAATGAGATACCGACACGTCATCACTGCACTAGCAGATTCTCGCTAAGTCACAGATTTTTCTCCCGCCCCAAAAATTATTTCAAACCGGGAAAATTAAATTAGCTGACAAAAGCTCAAAATCATTCAGTTTTACCCACAATTTAAGCTGACAGGTGCTCTCAAAAACAGTACTCCAGAGTGTCTTGAACCTTTAAGCTTTTTTTAATGCGACTTTCTGAAATGCACATAAAACAGGAGGATATTAAAATAGCTATAGAGGGTTCCACTTAGAAGCTTTTACTTTACACATAATATTTCCATTCCACGGAAGGTTCTTTAAAGTCAGATTTTAAAAATGTCCTAAAAAACAAAACCAAGAAAAGGTTCTCTAGGAATCGTAAAAATAAGATCCTCTATGACATCAGAGGAACCATATTTTTCAAAACGAAAGCAACAATCTTAAAAGAGAAACGCCAACTGCTGTCCGGGGAGAAAATTGGTGCTAATTTGAAAATTGGCAGTGGTTCAGATGGACTGACACGTCTCCCGGCTGATCCGGCCTTCCTTATGGACTGAGTGTGACTTCATACAGGGGATTTTCCACTTAGCCCAGTGGATTTTGCATTATTTCTCGTCAGTTTGCTTTGTTTGTGTGAGTAGAGCGGACGTGCATCCACGATACGCACTAATCTCCGTCTCATCAGAGCGACGGGTGCGAGGCATTTATAGCAGATGTCCATTAGCAGCCGATCAGCAGGGTCTGTCTCCGCAGGGGCCATGACAGCTCCTGAGTGTGTGTGTGTGTGTTTGGGATGGATCGGGCTCTTCGCTGGTCCTGTGGATTTCTCCCTCGCCCCACGGAGGCGTCTCGGACACAAGCTGCCGTCCCCCCCGACCCCCCTGCCTCGGAGATCAGGAACCCACTTATCCAGCCACGCCATTGTCTCGCGTGTCCACACACATCTGTTCTGCTTGGGCAACACCGCCACTGACAGACAGTCCATTGTTCCTGCGGCCGGTAGGAGGACGCACTCACAGTTTGGGGTAATTGCCGCTCCTAATTAGTTCAAGACACACACACGCAATTGCTTTTTAATTAAACGCCATCCAGCCTCTAATGAGCAATCAGTATCAACCAATAAAGAGACAAAACGCGCCCGGAAAGACTGAAAATTGACATTTATTCTAGTGCAGAGGTCAGTGTTTTAACAGTAGGGCGGATACCAGGGGGTTGCTGTGTACATAGGTATTCTAAATGTTTCCTATGTGTTGCTATCCGGTTACTGAGGTTGGAACTATTTTGCTGCAAAAATCTGAGAATGAGAAGACTCGAATGCATAAGTAAAAACAACTCAAAAACATTGCTTATGTGACATTTTAAAGAAGTTTTTAAGCCATTTGCAAAACATTTTAGAGATAAAAATTAGGGCTGCATGATTAATTGAAAAAAGATTGTAATCTCAATTGCCCCCTTGCACAATCTTAAAGAGCCCCTATTTGTAATATAAAAGGTCATATTTTGGTTTTGGAGATCTCCAACAACATTCTGATATGCATGCAAGGTCAAACACTTTCTTTGTCTTATAATCTGCATTTATTTTTGCCTCATTATCTCAGCGACTCCCTTATGATTCGTTCAGCGATTCATTTGCTCCCAAACCCCTCCTTAGCGCGATGCTAATCTGTGGTGATTGACCCAGTCTGTTGTGATTGGTCGACTGCTTTAAGCTTGAGACAGAGAGAAACGCCCACCACGGCTTATCAACATTGTTAAAGGAGTCAGAGTGCAGAGTGTATGTGTGAGCCCAGTGCAGGTGTGCATTAAATAAATAAAAGTTTAACACCAGCATATTGCTCTATTCTTAACCATAAAAAAAAAATATATATATATATATATATATGAAACAAATTCAGTATTAATCCACACATCGGCAAAAGCTGAACTATTTTGAAACTCGACCACCGCACGAGTGTAGGAACAGCTGATGGTGGCCATAGCAACAACAAATGGCAGGAGGATCATGTGCTCACAAGCGCATTTTAATCTGTAAAACAAAGCGTCGGATTTTCGACGCTGTTTTAGAAGTGATATAAAAATATAAAGTGCCAACCAGATACAGTACAAGCAGCGGGGAGCGATTACAAAACACAATAAAATACATAATTTGGTAGCTAGAGAAAACAAGGTGCAACCATTGTAATCAAACTAACTTACATTTGTGAAATGGAGGAAGAAACTTATCCATGAACTGTGTACTGAAAGTACCTGTCAAGCTCTGACAAAGACCCATACAATATGTATATGAAATTGTTACCAGATATATTTACGTGTGTGTGTGTGTGTATGTGTGTGTGTGTATATATATATATATATATATATATATACACACACACACATATACACACACTATAAAAGGCACATAACCATTTGAAAAAGTCAGATGTTAATGTGACTAAACTGTTGTTTCTTTTTTGCTTAATAGCAGAAAAATTAGATATTTTGGAGAAATTGTTAACTTTTCTTGAAAGATAAGTTTACATACAATAAGATTATTCTGCCTCTGAAAAAGCTCAGATGATGATGTCAAGGTTTTGGAAGTTTCTGATTGGCTAATTGACAACATTTAAGTTCATTGGAGGCACAACTGTAGAATAGTATTTAATGAAAACCTCAAACGCACTGCTTCCTTGTGTGACAACATGGGAGAATCAACAAGCCAGAATCAACAAAAAAGCCAGATCACAATGTGCTAAATTACACTGGGAAAAAGAATAATTTTTGGAGACATGACCTGTGGTCTGACGGAACTAAGATTGAACTGTTTGGCCATAATGACCAGAGTTACATTTGGAGGACAAAGGGGAAAGCTTACAAGCCTAGGAACACCATCATAACTGTGAAGTTTGGGGGAGACAGCATCATGTTGTGAGGCTGTTTTGCTGCAGGAGGGACTGGTCCACTTCACAGCATAGATGGCATCATGAAGAAAGAACATTATGTAGAAATACTGAAGCAACATCTCAAGACATCAGCCAGGAAATTAAAACTTGGCCACAAATGGGTCTTCCAAACAGACCATGACCCTAAGCATACTGCAAAATTAGTTAAAATGTGCTTTAAGAGCAACAGAGTGAATGTTTTGGAGTGGCCATCACAAAGCCCTGATGTTAATCCTACAGAAAATTTGTGGGCAGAGTTGAAAAGCTTGTGCGAGCAAGACAGCCTACAAAACTGACGCAGTTACACTAATTCTGTCAAGAGGAATGGGCCAAAATTCCTGCAAACTATTGTAAGAAGCTTGTGGATGGATATCCAAAACATTTAACCAAAGTTATACAGTATAAAAAGCAAAGCTAAACAAATACCAAGGAAATGTCAAGAAATTAATTTTAAATAAATTCTCTAAAAAACAATTTTCTCTTCTCTATTATTCTGGCATTTAGCAATTGTTAATCATTTAGGTAATCCTAACGGAAATAAAATAGTAAAAGTTTAGTATGATTTACCATCAGACTTTTTTTTTTTAAGAGTATGTAAACTTCTGGTTTCAACTGTATATATACACATGTCTTTTTTAAATCCTCCCTTTACCAAACAGCCAACGAATCCTCCGCTGCAGGGTAGATTATTGCATTAATAACCAGAACATTCACTTATTACTGTTCATTCATTTTCACTCATGATCAGTTCCACACACACCCGCACGCTGCTAGTGTCTGAAGGGAAAGGCACGTTCATGTTTTACCCGATCCGACACTCATATTTGGTATTGTTTCATGTTGAAATTAATGTTGTGAAAATCCCTAATAATAAAAAAATATATATAAATAAATAAATGCAGACTTGGTGAGCTGACACACAGTTGATGTCAGAATTATCATCCATCCTGTATATTGTTTCCCCCAATTCCTGTTTAACAGAGAGAATTTTTTTTTCAACATTTTCTAAACATAATAGTTTTAATAACTCATCCTTAATAATTGGTTTCTTTTCTCTTTGCTATGATGACAGCACATAATATTTGACTAGACATTTTTCAAGATACTATTATTCAGCTTAAAGTAACATTAAAAGGCTTAACTAAGTTAATTAGGCAGGTTAGGGTAATTAGGCAAGTCATTGTATAACAATGGTTTGTTCTGCAGACTATCGAAAAAATATATTACTTAAGAGGTCTAATAATATTGACCTTAGTGTTTAAAAAAAAACCTGAAAATGGCTTTTATTCTAGCCGAAATAAAACAAAGACTTTCTCTAGAAGCAAAATATATTATCAGACATACTGTGAAAAATTCCTTGCTCTGTTCAACATCATTTGGGAAATATTTAAAAAAGAAAAAAATAATTAATTTTGTAACTTAGTATGAATTAGTAACAATAGTAACTTTGACTTCAACTCTATATAAATGCTATAACAAAATCTTTGAACCCTAGCTTTGAACATTTAGTGCATTTTAACAAGGCATCGATAGAAAAAAAAGGATTATGGCTGGTCTGTCTTAATCCCAGAATGCTGAGATGTCCCATGTTGCCATGGATTCTGTAACCTGATAATGTGAACAGACTGTACCGTCACTGAGGGAATATGGGCTGCTTTCACCTCATCTCACAGCTCAGGTCCTCTCTGAACTCCCTCTGGGCTGCTGGCTGACACAGACCTGCTAATGATGACGCCAACCGTAACCTGTAGATGCTGAAGAAGAAAAATAAATAAATATCTGAACTCCATCTGCACCCACAATCACAATTAATGCATATGAAGCTTCACTCATTATTTAGCTGCATGGGACTAACAAAATGTACTTACAGTAACTAAAACCGAGAGATATTTGATAGGATAATCCACAAAAAAATTAATTAACTATTCACCCAGTGTCAAGTTGTTTTGTGCCTTTATGAGTTTCTTTTGTTGTTGTGCAGCTGAATGTAAAAGTAGATCATTTTAGAGAATGTTAGAAACTGGTAACCATTGGTACTGGTATTCTTAATCCAAAGAGAGAAAGAGATATTAAGGGCATTATTTTTTATTAAACAATTCAACACATTGTATGATGTTGCTAGCATGTTGTAACACTACACTAACAAACTAACGTTACAAGTGGTTTCTAAAATACAGTAGTTAACAGATTGTTAGCATTAGCATACCGTTAAGTTGCAGCATGTGTTATTAAATCATTTACAGTATATGCAATGTAACATGAAGCATGTATTAAAAATAAATTCATCAGAAATAGCATGTTAAGCTTAAATAGTACTTCAAAATGAATACACTTACTGGCCACTTTATTAGGTACACCTGTCCAACTGCTCGTTACCGCAAATTTTTAATCACCCAATCACATGGCAGCAACTCAATGCATTTGGGCATGTAGACAAGATCAAGTAGATCTGCGGAAGTTTAAACAGAGCACCAGAATGTGGAAGAAAGGTGATTTAAGTGACTTTGAACATGGCATGGTTCTTGGTGCCAGACAGGCTGGTCTAAGTATTTCAGAAACTGCTGATCTACTGGGATTTTTACACACAATCATCTCTAGGGTTTACAGAGAATGTTCCAGAAAAAAGAGAAAATATCCAGTGAGCGGCAGTTCTGTGGGCACAAATGAATTGTTGATGCCAGAGGAGAATGGCCAGACTGGTTCCAGCTGATAGAAAGGCAACAGTAACTCAAATAATCACTTGTTACAACCGAGGTCTGTAGAAGATCATCTCTAAGCACACAACATGTCCAACCTTGAGGCGGACGGGCCACAACAGCAGAAGACCACACAGGGTGCCACTCTTGTCAGCTAAGAACAGGAAACTGAGGCTACAAATAGAAGATTGGATAGATGTTGCCTGGTCTGATGAGTCTCCATTTCTGCTGCAACATTCAGATGGTCGGGTCAGAATTTGGCATCAACAACATGAGCATGGATCCATCCTGCTTTGTATCAAAGGTTCAGGCTGGAGAGGTGGTGTAATGGTGTGGGGGATATTTTCTTGGCACACTTTGGGCCCATTAGTAACAATTGAGCATCGTGTCAACGCCACAGCCTACCTG